CCCCCCCCCCCCCCCGCCCCAGGCCCTGTGAGGAATAGGGACCTGGTGATTAATAATAATGGTTAATGTTCATTGAGTAAATTACCATTTGCCATCAACTCATCCAAGCCTCCCATCAACCCTAGCTGCAACCATTGTTCCCATTTGATGGGCAGGGAAACTGAGGCCCATAGAAAGTCATTTTCAAGATTATACAACTGGCAAGTGGTAGAATGAGGATGAACCGCCGCAGTCTGACCAGAGCCCATTCACATCTACGTTGTCAACTAGTATGATCCACGCTTGACCCTAGTCCGTCCTGGCTGTGTCAGCCACCCAAACAATACTTTAGACCTAGGTGGCTCCTTGAGAAGACTTTCCCAAACTTGGCAGATCATAAGAACTGCCCTGGGGTGCTTACTAAAAAGCCTACCCTTTTCTTAGCGATCTGGATTCAACAGGTCTACCCTGGAATTTGAGTTTTTAACGAGTTTGACAAACACTGACTTAGCAGTTCAGTGCAGTTGTTTTTGAACTGGATAAATCCAAGTTTGGCTGGTTTGTAGCTTTATTGCTTTTCCATTCGTGTCTAAGCCTCAGTTTCCCCATTTGACAAATGTGGCCGATGACAACATCAACTCCTGGGGGTCTTGTATGGATTAAGTGAGCCGCACACAAAGTGCTTATCGCAGGCTTGCTGCATAACACGACAAAATAGGAATAGGACTGGCAGTGATTGGGAAACTCCAGTTGCCCAAAGATGAAGTGTCATAGATCACGGTGGTAGACTTGAAAGACTGTCTTGAAAAAGGGCCAGGCCCTATTGACTTTGAGATAGAGTTTCCAGGTAAAGATTAGGACGCCCAGATAAAACAGTGTTTCTGATAAAACAGTGAAAAAAAATTAAGTACAAGTATCTCCCCAATATTGCATGGGATATACTGATGCTAAATCAATCTTTCTGTTAAAATCTGAAATTCCCAGGGGGTGCTGCACTTTTACTGGTTAACTCTGGAAACCCTACCTTTCGGGAAAACCTAGCCCCAAAGCCTGAGTCTACAAGTGGCCAGTGTCCATGTGGGCCCAATATTTAGTCTTTGCCAGGCGCCCGGGTCGATCCCAGAGGGGCCGATCCGAGTGGCCGCTTGAGCTGGTCCTGACCAGGCAGCATTAGCGGCATTCTGAGCAGCCGAGCCCCGCCCCGTCCCTCCTCGTCCCTCCCAGAACAGAAGGCTCCACCCCGAGCGGAACGGGGCGGTTGGGCGGTGTGGAGTCGCCCCTTCGTACCAAGTGTGCTCCCAGAAACTCGCTAGCTATGTCGGCTGCTCAGGTGGGGGGTGTTTTCCACAGAGCCCAGGACAGGACCCTGAACGCGTTTCTAGCAGGTACTGCTGGCCCGTCGCTTGGGGAGGAAACTTCGGAGTTGCGGAACCTTCCGCCTGGTTAACCTGCGGTCCGGCTTGGCGCGCGTACAGCCGGACCCTTTTGCGGGTTACACCATTTGGGGACCGCAATATTGGCCGCGCCGCTACCACTGTGGGTTTCCTGGGGCGCTGGACTGGAGAGCGCCGCAGAGGGGTCGCGCCCAGGGTCTTCATTGGCCTGGACCTGACTTCTCCGCGAAGGAAAATCAGAGGAAAGCAGCAAATCAGAGTTCTGGTTCGCAAACCCTTGGCAGTGCCTCAGCTTCGTCATCTGTAGAACAGGACTCATAGCGAGGTTATGGGTGACACTGGATAAGCGCTGGGTGCAGGTTAGAAGCTGTTATTTTTAGTAGGGTCTTTCACCATAACGCATTTTATACGACACGATTACGGTTATTTACTAGAACATGAGTCATACACTGAAATGTAAACAGCGGCCATCAGAACAGGGAAGGCATTCTAGAGTCATAGAGTTAAGTGCTTGGACGTTGGGTTTAGATAATCTGCCACGCTGTAAAAATGAGTTTGATAATACCTGCCTCATAGGGTGCTTGGGAACGTTAGCAGGTCGAAAGTATTTCTGTTACCCAGTGACGAACATATGCCAAGTGTTAAATGAACACAGTTATAGTCTTTGAGCTGTACGTCTAGAGGGAGCATGCTGTCCCCCACCCCAATTTTTTTCTTTTTGTTTTCTGCCTGGAGTCAAATTCCCTCCCAGGAGCTCACCAACTTTTTAACTTCAGGGAAGTCTCCCCAGCATGCCCGACATGATCTTACTTATCCCCACCATTTGGTTCACGCTTCCCACTCTCCTTTCTCCAGTTCTCCTGCCCCATTAGTTTTCTTGAACTCAATAAAAGGAACAAGCCCTTTTTCTCCCGAGAGTCTTGGTTCCTGCTCTTTGCTCCTGTAGCTACTGGTGGGACTGGTGAGCCTGGCTCTTTGACCTTCACACTGCATTTTAAAGGTCATTCATTTTTGCAGGGAGACCTTGCCTTGCTACGAAATTCGAAGTAGCTTCCTTCTATCCCTGCTAGAATCCAATTCTTCTCTTTTGCAGCTCTTGGTGGGAGAGTGGCAAGGTTCTGGAAGAGTGTAGGTGGCAAATTTTTATCTTGGCATTCTCTGTGTTAATATAACTTGACTTTTTCACCCAACATGACGTTTTTGAGATTTATCTGTATTAATATAAGTAGTTCCACTTCATTTTCCTGGGGGCAATATTCCATTGTATAAGTATATGCATTGTACATTCTGTTGATGAATATGCTAAATATCTTCTCTTCGCTTCTCCCTTTGCCTCTCCAAATCTCTTTCCCTTTCCCTTGGTGTTCCAGGAGGTTGACCTCTGTGGGCTACCTTAGTGGACTCCTTGCCCTGTGATTTCCCCTTCTGTTCAGATAGTGGGAAGCCCTGGCTGGAGGTCAGAAGGAAGAGGAAGCAAAAGCCAACCTATTTATTTCTGCACTTTACTCTCTTTGAGGTTTGCTTTGAGCTGGCTGTATTCCTCCTCTCACCAGAAGCACGCAGCTTTTCTCAAGACAGTGTTCCTCTCCCCCCCTCACATTCTCTCTTCAAATTTGGGCAACCATTCCCTTCCTTCCTCCATGCGAGTGTGTGACACAGCGGCTCTGGTTTTCTGTCTCTGGGCGGCTAAATTGTCCCTTGTGGTTTCCTTACACCAAATCCATCTCATGTAACCCCCTTAAATGCCCTTTTAATCTGAGTATGTGAGCCATTTCCTGCTTGAGTCCTGACTGATACAGTGCCTGTTTAGTTGTTTGGTTTTCATTCTTTTTTTAACTTTTTTTTTCTTCTTTTCACTCTTGTTAACAGTGCTGTTACAAAGAACATTCTTGTACACATCTTTCGGTGGACACCTTGGAAAATTTCTCCAGGGCATATAGCCAGGAGCAAAGTTCTGGGTTGTAAGGTATAATCATCCCCAGCTTTACTAGATATTATCAAACTACCCTCCAAAGTGGTTGTACCAGTTACACTCCACCAGCAATGCAAGAGAGTTCCTGGTTACCTTGCTTCATCTCTTCTTTTCAGTTTGAGAAATGTTATGTTCCTATTGTACTCTCCAATGTCTTGTAGGGAGTAGAAAATGGAAGAGGATGTGGCAAGTTACAAGACCTCAAGAGCTCAAAATCTCTGCATAGAGCTGTGGCACAAAAAATAATTTTTGGCAACTGATGGGCACTGAGGGCTACTGCAGTGGGAGGAGTTGTGATTTTAGGTATTGGTTTTACATAGTGGTTGTGCTGTTAACAGATCAAGGAGTAAAGAGGAGGGTCATATTTGATGGGATGGGTTTGAGGTACCATCAGGAATTCTGAGGCAACTTCTGGGAAATGGCTTACAACCAGGAATGTAGGTATGGGTGCCTTCACAGAGAGGTTAGTAGATGGCATTGCTTTAGGAGCCAAAGACATTGCTAAGGGGAACAGTGGCATAGTGGACAGTGTCGCCTTAGTATGTCAGTAGTATGTCAGTGTTTAGGGATAAGCAGGCACACACTGAAGGGCTCAGAGCAGGAACAGCCTGAAATTCTGAAAGAAAACCAGGAGCCAGGCTTGGCATCAGAGCTGGGTAGGAAGACTTAGGATGGCACCCGGAGTCAGATGTCACAGAAGTCTAGGTGAATGTATGCTCACCTGGTGACTTTGACAGGTGTTCCTAGAAGTGTATAAGGCTGTCCAGGCTCTGGGAACCTCAATCTGATAAGTTGCCCCTAGACAGACTTGGAAGAGAAAGTAAAGGAATTCGTTTTCCCCAAATTCTCACCAAAACTCACGTCAGAGATGTTCCGTTGACTCAAGCAACTGTCCCTGAAATCGCGGCTCTGCTGACCCTGACCTACATTATCAAAAGCTCCCTCCAGAATTAGCCACTTTGTTTCTCAAGTGAAGCCTGTCCACTGAATGAAACAGCCCTGAACTCTTAAGACCATTTCTCCCCAGTGGTGGTTCACCCGAGTGACAGTATTCCATCAACTTCCAGCAGTGACATGTGAGGCCCAGTTTCAGTCACCTGTTCCTTGTTAACAGAATCCACTAGGTTCTGCTGATGTGTGTTTGTAGAAAAAAAACTGTACATGTCACCTGGACTCATATTCCCAAGGCATGTTGAGATATTCATTTTAATTAGGCAGATCAATAATTATATTTTCTTGATGTGTGTCCTAATCAGGACTACTTTCTCCTAGCAAGTAAATGTCTTTTGAGAGGTTTATCACATCTGTTCTGAACAAATTCTGAAAGAGAAATATAAAGATAAAAATGTTTTAAAATATATTTGTTTGTAGGTCTTAAATTTGTTTTTCCAGTTCATTTTACTATCATAATATTTTCCTCCTCCCCAAACCACTCTTGTATGGCTTTCTTTTCTTTTTTTCCCATTGGATTCATGGCTGTCCTTCCGTTTCTTCTGCCCACCATGCACACAGACACGCCTATCCGTCGGGCAGCATGAATGATCCGTCTCCACTCTCAGACCGTGTCCTCTGTCTGGCCCTGGTCATCCTTTCCCTCACTGCTGCGGCCTGGATGCTTCCTGGGGGTGACCACCATGCACCCTGGATTTTTACTGTCTGTTTTTTCAATACAGAGTCACAGGCTCTCACTGTGTGGTAGCGGGTGGCATCAAACTCACATTCCTCCTGTCTGCCTGCCTCTGGTACTGGGGACTTTTGTTAATGTTTGATTTTTTTTTTTTGGTGCTTTGAGGCAGAGTCTCACTCTGTCGTTCAGGCTGGCCTTGAACTCACTCTGTAGCCCAAGCTGACCTGGAACTTGCAACCATCCTCCTGCCTTGGGTACAGGGGATTTAAACCAGGGCCTTTACACTGAGCTATATAACCAGCCCCCGTTTAAAATGTTGTATGATTTATATTATTAGCATTAATATTATCATTATTTTGAATTTGGGGTCTTGGTGAGTCACTTGGTGGCCCAGGTGGGGCTGGAACATGCCATCTCCCTGTCCCAGCCTCCCAGAGGGCAGGGATCACCAGTGTGCAGCACCGTGATAGGCCATGGGAGTTGGGGGAAAGCCTCTTAAACATGGAATTTGGATCCCATTCATTCAGAACACTGCAGGTTTCAGGGCAATATCTGAGCCTTTTCTTGTCCCGTAGAATGTTGTATGTTCTGGCTCATTTATCCGCTCCCCCGTTTCCTGTGCCCCAGGGTTCTGGATTTTACAGTCCCTTCTCCTCGATTGATTTCAGAGTCTCCATCTCTGGTCCTCAAGCTTGTATGGGTTTCTTAGAATGATTATTTTCTGGACATTTTCAGCCCTTGCATGTGTGTCAGAGGAGCTGATTACTAATCCTGAGTATTTCTTGCTCTTCTCTGGAAACCCTCTTGCAGTGAAAGAATAAATAGATTCGCAGTAATCTATAACTTGTCCTATCTCTTGCAAACCTTACCTTAGAACTTTTTTTTTTTTTTTTTTGGTACTGGGGATCCAACTCAGGACCTTGAGCTTTTGAGGCTGGCAGTGGAACCAGTGAGCTAAATTCCTGGCCCAGAACTTTCTCTTCTTTTTGCTTAAATTCTTTTATTGGTACATTTTAGGTATACAATACGTTTACATTTATCATTGGGTGCTTGTACCTGTACATGATGTATCTTGGTTCTTACTTTTTCCCTGTTACCTGTGCGCCCTTCCCTATTTATGTAGACTTTGTTTCCATTATTTCCTTTGCTCATAATTTTTTCTTTCCCTTCTTTCCCTTCCCCTTCCAGTAATGCGGTAAAATTATGACCTCCTCAGTGGATCAGTCCACTTGATGAAGCTAGAGCCCCCGGAATCCAGTCACTTCCCCAGACATCCATTAGCTGGCAACCAAGTGTTTAGTACGTGAATTTGGTGGGGGGAGTTCAAATCCATACCCTCATATTCTGCGTGTGCAACCCAAAGTCTATCCCATTATGCGGGGTGCACTCAGT